GGAATAATTTTCTAAGTGTGTCAACATCATCTATTTACCAGAAGGGCAGAACAGAACTATGTAGATGAGCACAATGCATAGAAAGCTCACTCATACTTCCTACTTACTGAAATTCATAAAACAACGAAAGAATTAAGGTTCCAGAGAGGAAAAATGTATTTCATGCCGAGAATCAAGAATCAGAATGGCTCTAAACTTCCAGCAACGCTGGAATCTGTAAACAACGAACCAATGACATCAGACATTAATTTGCAGAAATTAATTTCCAGGTTAGAACCCTCTATTCAGCCAAACCGTCAATGAAGTGTGAGAGTACAATAAAGACATTTTCAGATGTGCAAGGTCGCAAAACTTTACTTCCCATAACCCTTTTTTAAGGAGCTAGTAAAGCAGACACCCCGTAAAATGAGGGCATCGACCAAGAAAGAGGAAAGCCAGAGAAGAGGGACGGCAGGGAACCAGCCCAGAAGGGAAGTGGAGGGAGATCTCAGAATGCCGGAGCCGGCCTGCGGGACTGAAGGTCCACTTGGGGTGGGGTGGGGGGGGGCGGAGTAGGGTGGGGAGGAGCTAACTGTGTCCTGAAAGCACCAAGGAGAGATGTTTCACAAGGCCATTAGCATATTTGGGAAGGAGTAGCAATAAGTTCCTAAAAACTGAACGAATGAAAATAATAATTCTTTTCTCCAAACGAGTTGTACAGTAAAAGAAACACAGTTACAGTTCACAACCTATGTCTGCAGTGAACAACAACTGCAGTCAAAATGTCAGCTCAGTGTTACTGCCATTAAAACGGTGCTGTCACACGTGAGAGCCGATGCAGGACCAAACTTCCTGGTGCGGTGCGTGCAAGTCCTTGGCATCCTCGCGGTCATGCCAGCCCAAGGCTCCAGCCCCTGCCCCTGCTTCCTTATTCCCTTGTATGAAATTCAAACTGCCCAAGCAGTGGCTGCCAATCTGCCAGAACAATTCCTCCCTCTTTCAAGAGCCATACTTGACCGACTATTTCTGAAACTAGCTGAATTTTGGCTGCTCTGGCTAAGGCCCAAGAAACATTTAGACCAAAGCTAGGTACTCCTAGGAGTCCTGGCATCTTCAAACAAGGGTTATGTTAATAGTGCTCTGATGGATTTCCTCCCACAGACCAAACTGCAAAAAAATAAAGGGAGGGGCCCTGGCTGGTGTAGCTCAGTGGACTGAGTGCCTGCCTGTGCACTAAAGAGTCCCCAGGTCGGTTCCCAGTCAGGGCACATGCCTGGGTTGTGGGCCAGGTCCCCAGTAGGGGCATGCAAGAGGCTATCACACATTGATGTTTCCCCCCTCCTCTTTCTCCCCTCCTTCCCCTCTCTAAACATACATAAAGAAAATACTTTTAAACAATAAATAAAGGGAGGGAGGTTGGAGGGGGTAGAGCAAGAGAGCTATGTCCTCCTCAGTATAAGGGAAAGTGCATAGATTCTGCCTACACCTGAATCAAGGACCGGCCATCTGAGCAAATTGTTTGGAAATAGGGAGGTAAGTCATTCAACAGCTAAGAACAGGGGGTGACTGTGTCCAAGGAGGGAACGGTTGTTTTTGTTAGAATCTTTTAACATGCTCTAATGCACCAGATTAGATGAATGCATTATTTTGATAACTTTCAGCAACTTTTAAAAAGTAAAAGTTTTTTTAAAAAGTAAAAACTTTCAATTGCAAGCAAAAAATGCAATTACATAATCAAGTATGTCTATACAACATCCTAAAGAATTGTCCCCACAAATAGAGATACAGAAAACATCCGTGGTGGCTTAAAGATTGGAAGGAGGAAGGTCTGGGGAGCAGCCAGTTTGGCAAAGTTGAGGACGATGCCCCAGCCCGCACCACTGCCATGGGAGGCAGTGAGCAGAAGTGCATGCAAGTCTGCTGCTCGGGCCTCCCAGACCCGCTCCGCCTCAGAGGATCTTGCTGACTGGGGTACTGGGGCTTTCTGGAAAAGCATCAAGGTCTCCGTTGTTCATGGAAGATGACGAGGAGAGTTCTTTTTTGCTTCCTGTTCTCCAACTTGCTTCCTTCCTTCCTCTTTCTCTCTTTCTTTTTGTTCATTTTCTTTCTCTCTTTCTTTCTCCTGTGCAACTCTCCTTGCACTGGACCTTTTCTCTTTCATTTCCTCTCCCTTAATCTGTAAGTTTTTTTCTCACGCCAATTCTTTTTCTCTTTGGCTTTATTGTTCTCTCTGGTCATAAATTCTTCCTGCCATTCCCACCCTGTCTCTCTCCTCATCTCCACGCTCTCTAAGTCTTGGCTGATATGCATTATTTTGCCTCTTAATTTTCCAAGTGGTTCACTGAAATGACTTGAGTCTTTTGAACAAAACTCACCCATCTGTAAAAATGGTTAATATTCTTTGGGATGCTTAAAATAATGGCGGAGCTATCTTTGAAGTTTTTAAGAGAAAATAATTTAGGAGCTGTGATCTGTTTAATTCAAACAGGGGACTATTGTCTTCATAAGTAATTTGAATATTTCCATCTTCTCTTGAATTCTATTAACTTCAATTCTAGAGAACTTTTCTACAATGACAATAAGAAATGACAACAATAGAATGTTGTCAGAGAGTAATTTTATGAAGTTTGTCTTTTCAACAACTGAAAGAAAATCAACCAGTGAATTAAGGCTCCTTTCTCCCTAGAGAAATAGTATAATGGGATTCAAAGAATAAAGTTGGATTTAGCAATATTTTAATTTTTAAGTATCTCAAAATGGAGCTACATATTTGACCAAAAATATTAACCAACTAAGACAAAACTCTTTGCTTCTTTTAAACTGTAAATCTAGGGGTATTGGAATTTTCCAATCCTATGTCATCAATGCATAAAACTGATTCCTAGGACCCACTGCTCACGACTTACAGTGAAGAACTATGGCTCTTTGAGGCTCCACTGCCTATGAAATTTGCTAAATTTGAATGTACCGACACTCTCCTTAAGTTCATCCATTTTAACTGAAGACCCAAGGTTGAGCCATGAGTACTGACTGCTCTATGTCCTGCCTGGGAACTGTAGATTTCACACAAACCTTTACTTTACTTTACTTTCACTGAAGGTTGGCTATTAGGGAAAAAGCACAGACCTCCAGCTGAGTATCCAGCCCGCATTTCTTCCTAACACAGAAGGAGGCCTCTCTGAAGGTATTTCCAGCCTGACCACTGAACGGTGGTCAGGCCAAAAATAAATCCATGAGGGTTTTATTGGGCAAGTTCAACAGCACACAAAACACTAGCCCATGGAGTGTTGAACTTTGCTTTTCCCCCCTTAGGCTCTTTCTGGGCACCCCCACCCACATCCCCCCACCTCCTAATTAGAAAGCTAATTAGGATTCCGAGTTTAGAAGCTACTTGGGAAGGGAGTGGTGGCCGGCCAGCATTCCTTTAACATCAAGCACTCTCCTTCTCCCTCCTGGGTCAGGGCAGGGAGTGGGGAAGGGGCAGGGCGGGCTGCCTGCTGGGCGGAGTTTACTTTCGGTTGTCTCTGAGGGGAGATCTGTGTTACAAATGGCAAACTCTGAAAAATAAAATTAAATAAAACAGCAACAGCCACAATAACAACAGGCTTTGGGCTTTTAGAACTTTAAGGAAAAGAAACAAGTAGCTTCGGAGCGCAATCATTGTTGCCATGGTAACTGCAGGGGACCCGAGAAGAGCTCCTCAAGAGCAGCAGCTCCTGGTTCCAGCCAGGCAGCGTCTCCACAGCGCAGGGCGACTTCTTCAGTTACCACGGCAACCAAAAATTAGAAGTGCCTTTGCGACACTAACAGAAACGATCTTTTGAAGCACTTCTGTGAATCCTACTGAATACTGATGGTGCAAGCTTGAGTGACACATTAAAAAACAACAACAAAGTATCCCCCCCCCCCCATATTGCCCTAAATAGACGCTCGTTTCGGATTCCCCTTCGGAATCTTGGTTTGACTTGGAAGAGATTCTTCGGTCTCGTTCAGTTTGTTTTCCTTTTGGATTCCCGTGGCCACGAGTGCAAACGCAATTTGTTTAACTTCCAAACTTGTCTCAACTGCGCGAGTAAGAGCTTAGAGTGTGGTTCATTCGCTCTGGCTGTGAAGCGAGAGGAGGAACAGGGTTGGGGCAGGGTGGCTCTAACAGAGTCCTCTTGTCTGCCGAACTCCGGAGGACGAAGTGGGGGTGCGGGGCTGGAGGCGGAGGGGATGGGCGGGCGAGGGGACCGGGAAGGAAAAGTGCAGACGGCTGAATCTTCGCTGCCCCGCGAGGGCTCGGAGCACCGTCCGCTGTGGTCTTGACCTCTGCATCCGCCCTGTTGTGCAGGGTACCCAGAGCTGGTCCGAAATGGCTCGTTAAAGACCCCGTTGCGGTCCTTTGCCCTTTCCCGTCCGTTACCGCCCCTACCTAGAGTCTTGGCGCCCCTACCATTGTGGAGGGATATCCGGGAAGCCAAGACGAGACTCTTCCTCACTAGTGCGGTCTTTCCAAAGGGGGCGCGTGGTGTGGGGAGTGCTGGCAGGGTCATCCCCCGAGCCTCGGCCCCTCGCTGCCAGTCCCGTCCACTGCCCCCCCGGCTCACGCTGGTCCCCAGCCCTGGTGACAAACTGCAGACTTGGGCCGGCGCTCGGGGCGCGCTGGGGCGAGGCGCCAGGCGGCCCTCCTCCGCTCACGTGCGGCGCGCGCACAGACTGGGGCGACGCACAGCCGGGGACGGGGACAGGGACACACGCGCCCATAACCGTGGGCGCCACAGAAGCTTGAGCACACCGACGCCTCCCGCCCTGACTCCCTCTCCTCTGATGGGCCTGGGGGCCTGCGAGGGGGCGCCCCCAGGAGCGCCTCACCTTCTCCTGACCCAACCGACCCTCCTTCCTCCAGGACTGTGTCTCCTCTGTCCCTGGAGCGGCGGGGAGGACAGGCGAGCCTCCCCCGCCCCCAGGTCTGCAGCCCCGCGGAGGGAAGCGCGGGCGGGATGGGGGCGCTGGCGGCGAGCCCCGCGGCCCTCCCTTACCTTCCCGGCGGGCCCGGCTCCGGCTCCGCTGCGTGGCTGGCGCTGGAGCGGCCGCGGGCGGCGCGGGGTGTCGCCGCGCCAGGAGCACCCGGGGCTCCCCAAGCTGTCAGGGCCGGCCGACCCGAGCCTCAGCGGCAAACCCCGCCCTCCGGGCCCTGCCGGGGCTCAGCGGCGGGGACCCAGGCGCCCCGCAGCGTTTCCCGAAGGACCAATCGGGAGCGGGGGGCTGGCCCGGGGGAGGGGGCTCGGGGCGGTCGGCTGGAGACGCGGGCGGGGCGCCGGGAGGCCGGTTTCTATGGCAGCCAGGAGGGAGGGGCGGTAGGGAGCCGGGCGCCGGGCTCCGGGCACCGGTCGCAGCCGTCCGAGGGGGGCGGGGGGTTGGCCCTGCCGCAGAGAGGACCCTCCCAGAGCATAAACGGGAAGCGGCGACACAGCCGAAAGGGGGTAGACGCAACTCCCATGAACTCGCGCCTCGTATGGAGCTGCTCCAGCCTCTGGATCAAAGGTTTCCGCGTCCCAGAGAGACCGCCACCCAGCAAGGCCCCAACAGTACGGGACGCCAGCGAACACTGTGACCGCCCCCCCGGGTGAGTCAGGCAGGGCCCGGGCTCTGCAGAAAGAAGTGCTCTTGCCGCCTCCTGCGCGGATTCCTCGCAGACGTTAGGCCGTTCCTTTGGCATCCCTTAGACAGTGGCCCCCTGACCTGTTTGCTCCCCAGCTACTCCCCTCGGCTAATGAACGTGTTAAATATTTTCTAGGTTACAAACAAGGAAACCGAGTCATCGACTTGAGTGTAGAGCCTGGAATGCAGTTCGTACAATACTAAAAGCGGAGAGGTTATTTATTGAAGTTCAAGTCCTTCGTTTTTACAGAGGAAGAAACTGAGGTCAGAGAAGTCAGTTAACTTAGCAAGGGTCACGCAGCTGGTTAATGGCAGAACCAAGACCAGCCACCCTAGGTCCCAGCTCCGCCAGCGCTGTCTCCTCCTCCCCAGGCTCCCAGGTCCTGTATTCATTCTCACCATGCAATACGTGCAAAAGCTAGAATACTGAGGGAAAAATAACAGAGCTTTAAAGTCCTTTTATGGTAGAAACCAGGGAACCCAAAGATTCCTGTGTTTTGTTTTGTTTTCTGTTTGCCGGGCACTGTTGTAAGTATGTTCACAAAGATGATTAAATCCTCGAAATAAGCTAACAAGCTGGTTACTCTTGTTTCCATCTCCATGTTGACAGACGGGGAAGCTGAGGCCCAGAAGGTGGTTTGACTTGCTCAAAGGCACACCGAAGTCTAGTGCTGGGGCCAGAATTCAAACCCAGGCAGTCCAACTCCAGAGTCTGTTTTCTTCTTCACTACCCTCTGCTGCCTCTTTGTATGAGGCTGAAGGGGCCGGAGCAGGAAGGGCAGGAAACAAAACCTTGGACAGCTCCACCGACCGGCCCTCCAGTGGGGCACGAAAGCAAGAGAAGCCGCAGTGCATGTTTCCCGGGTTCCGAGAGTGGAGAGGTCGTCTGCCCGGGTGGGCCAGGCGCTCTGTGAGAGAGGGTTGTGTTTGAAGGGCGGCCCTCTTCACAAGAGGTGGATTTTTAACAGAAGAGTCATCTTTAGAGTAATACGTGCCATCATCAGTCTCTTCTCTCTTTTAAAGCAATAAAACACAGGATGAGACTTTGCATTTGAAGCAACATCATGTAAAATAGTCACTGAATTCTGTAACAGGACAATACACGGGATAGGATGTGCTAAGGAGCTAGCCTAGAATCCGAGAGCCTCAAACACCAAACCCGGCGTAGGCCCTCCCATCACGCTAGATTCTGGGGGTCCCAAAGGTTCTAGAGACTACCATTGAAAAGGGAAATTAGAACTCAGCATCAGAGTCAGCTTCTAAAGCCCACTGGCCAGATTCCATTCCAGGCACATCCCCTCTCCCTGACGCCCACGTTTCTCTTGGTGCCAACCTCCTAGGACTGGCTGCTTCTCCCATCAGAGCTTTTCCTTCCGTCTTCCCTTCCCTTGGGAGTCCTGGGACCCACAGCCGTGGAGGCCTGACTTCCCCTTGAACTCCCTACACTTGAAAAGGTGTTGTTTTTCTCCTAAAAGGGCCATTCGACCATCGGTTGATTACAGTGTAACGGAAGTTAAAATTTTTTGTTTTGAATGGTACGGGGAAATATTTTCAACATATTAAGTAAAAACAAAAGTTACCAAACAGGATGTTTTTTGCTAGCTGGTGGAATCACAAGTGATTTAAGTGATCTTAATACTTCCCAGTGTTTTGTTTTTAGAAAAATACTTCTCTCAGAAAAAGATTATTTTCCAGAAGAATTGGTGGAACTGTCAGATCTAAGGATGGGGTAGATTGTTTCCTGGTTATGGGGGAGCTCATTACCATTTAGTAGTCTAGGCCCTGGCTGGCTGGCTGGCAGAGTTGGTTAGAGCATCAGCTGGATGCACCAAGGTTGTGGGTTTGATCCCTGGTCGGGGCACACGGAAGAATCAACCAATGAGGGTACATGTGGAACAACACGTCCATCTCCCTTCTCTCTCTTCCTTCCTCCCCCCCAAAGCAATGAAAACATTTACTTATATAGACCCTGCTCCCCTGTGTTGGCAGGAAAGAAGTCAGATACATTCTTAGAAACAACTACGGGTGATTCTTACACCGGAGCTACTTGTTCTACACTTGGAGAAACATGGATGGTGGCTGAAAGTTTAGACACGTGAGCCATGACCGTGCACCCTGACCTCACTTTCCCTCCGTATCTGGAATCCAGGTGGTGGTGTGAGGATTAATGAGATAAAATTTCTGACACGTAAAAAACTAGGTTTTCTTAACCTGTTGTCCATGGGCGGTGGTGGGCAGGAGGATCCCCTACTGATAATGTGCAGAAGTCCTTTCGTCATGATCCCAGCGAGGCTCAAAGAAGGCCAGAACCTCCTCTAATAAGCGCTCAATCAGCGGCAGCTATCATTACGATTGCTGCACGTTCTGAGGGATCTCTGCACACCTGGTGCAGGTCTGGGGCATATAGACACGTTGCACTCCCACTCCTCGGTCGGTCTGTTAGCCGCTGCACCACGCCCCTGCCGAGTGTGAACTGGGCCACCCGCGGGGATGCCCACCTCTGGTGGGGATGTCTGACAAGCCTGGGGGAGGAGGCGGAGCATGGTGTCGCCGAGTTTCACCTGCAGTTTAGAAGGGCACATCGTGTTCTGGGAAATTTTGTCTAATGTATCCTGTTCGGGCCCTGTGTCTGCCTCGTGTCTTTTCTCATGTTTTCCCGATTTTCATCTTTCTGTTTACCTTCTTTTACATGCTGAGTAATTTCTTCAGGCCTGTCTTCTGTTTCATTGATTCCGTCTTGTGCTCTGTGTAATCACTCGGCTCTCTGGCCCGCACTTGGGCTTTAGAAACCGTGACAAAGAGGCGGAAGTGGGAGAATGCCACTGCATAGCAATTCATTCACAGCAGGGGGTCAACTGCCAGTTTAAAATCGAATCACAACAATTAGTATTTATTAAAATCTTTTCTTAATTTTACGGGAAATTTTAAAACGTCACTTTACATCATCCTGCCTCATCCTTTAGTCGTGACTGTTCAGTCCTGAATGTTCTTCCCAAAGGTAAAATACAAGAGAGAAAAAACCAAATTGTGACCTTGAGAAATTTTTATTATAAAAATAATTTTCACTTTGAGTTCCTGAGAGTCTCGCTATAGCAGCTACATACTACAAACTTTTCTTGAATATGTGGCCATGTTTGGCAACTACTGCGATCTTCTCTCGTAATTAGCACTGGTCCATTTATAATGGACAATGAAGGATAGCTGAAGGCTCTGGGCCCGCCGATACTTTTGAAGCAAAGTGACCTTTATGAAAAGTTATAAAGATCAAATCTGAATCCTTTGCTTTGATTCACTCTTCAGTCTTCAGTAAGCACCATTTCCGTCAGGCCAGGGCTCCGAACCCACATCGAGCCCCCGCAGTTCTTCTCGGCTCCAGCAGGTACCTGCGATCTCACCGGGCACAGCCACTGCTCTAATCTCGGAGGCAGTCTCCCAGGACCCCCGAAACAGTTCAGGATCAGCTTTTCCCTTAGGTGAATTCATGCACGGACACTTACTTCTTAGCACACATTAGCTAAATTTTGTCTTTAAAGTATATCTGAGTGACCCAGACAAAGCAAAAGTATCCCATTAGGGTAGCACCTGGCCAGGCTATGAACCTGAAGAGACTACAGAAAGGTTCATGCCACTGGCTGGATCCCTGTGCCCCCTTGAGGTGCCCTGCCTCCGTTTCCTCCAAGTGTAGGTCCAGGACTAACAGTATCACCTGGAACTTGTTGGCAACGCCATTTCTCTGGCCCTGCCCAAGACCAACTGAGGGCAGGAGACAGGTACGTAAACGCCCCGATGCACTCTGGCTGGGGAACCACTGCCTGGGACGTCGTCTCAGGGTGAAGAGAGCTCCAAACGCAAGGTGCTGCATGTACCTCCCATCTCCTGCACCCCTGACCCCATGATCAGGGCTGGTGTGGATTCCAGAAAGCACACAGGCGTTTTCACCTACACGCTGTGGTGTTGTGGACTGCAAGGAGCTCATAGGGCAGGAGGAGGAGTGTGGTCTGCATTCAGCTCCTGGTTTCAAATGCTGGCCCCACCCTTCATTAGCCGGTCCTCATCTCCTCCTATTCCTCCTCCTCCTCCTCCTCCTCCTCCTCCTCCTCCTCCTCGTTGATTTCTCCCTTTGTATCAGCCTCTCGGGGTCACTGTGACGATTCACTCTAGAGTGCTTGACACACGATATGTGTGTGATTCATAAACGATGCTACTATGTTGCATTGACACTTCTCCGAAGGTATCAGGTGGGCATTGCTTCATTTGAATAAAGTGTGTGCCATATTAGGTTGCAGGAAAGGGGAGGAGGAAACGAAGTATTGAATTCACAGGCTGCCTTCCTATTTACCGTGTCAACAGAATGTATGAAGAAACATTTATAGAATATGGAGTAATTTTAAGAGATCCTGCAAATTCGGAATACATTTACAATAACGCCAGCTTTGCATTTACCTTAGAAAG